AAGATATTAAGTCTCTTTAGTCACTAACAATTGGAATATATATATATATATATATATATTTGCACTGCCACACGTCAACACAACGATACATTCTCTAACCCGGGCCCTCACCTAGTTTAAGATTACGGGATAGAGGAAAAAAAATTATCGTATTTATATATCACATCAATAAATTTTTATTATAATTTTTTATCTATCATTAAATATTAAATATTAAGGAGAGAAAATGTATTGATAATATATATATATATTTAATAGAAATAAAATTAAAAAATTATTAAATTTTTATACGGAATTAATGAGCTTTAAAATTTTCTTTAATTTTGATAAAAATATGTTAGAAATAAATTATAAATAAGATTGAATAAATATATTTCTTAAGCTAATTAATATCTCATTTTATTTAAATCCTTTTTAAGAGAGACGTTTATTTTGTGATGAAACTATATATACATTAATTTTAATAATCATGCTACATTAATTCATTATTCAATACACACAGCACAAATATGGACTCACATAGTTTATCACATTAAATTTTTCCCCCTTTTCGACTCTTTCAATAGGAGTGAGCAAAATTAAACTAAAATTAAAAATTGAATTAAATTTTTATTACTTTATTCAGTCTATTTGTTTTTTTAAAATATTTTATTTAATTAGCTCGATTCAATTAGTAAGACCTAAAATTAAATAAATCAAACCAACTGAATTACCATATATATAATTTATAAATTATATTTAATTTATTAATTACTTTATTTTATTTAATTATTTTTAATTTTATACTTAAATAAAAGTAAATATATAATTTGATAAATTGAAACCCTAATCCTTTATTAAAATGAACTATTATTACTTTACAAGTTTAATTTTATTTTTATATATAAGCTTTGCCCCTTGTCTATTTTAGCAGAACAAATAATAAAATTATCTCAAGTTTCAACAACCCAATATAAAGCTCAAATCTAAATTAATCGACTGAACTAAATTATTAAATATCAGTTTGATTCTCGTTCAGTTCTATTGTTTTATTCAGTTTAACTTGATTTATTTTTTTGCTGGTCAAAAAAATTTGATTTGTATTTTTAATGTTGTTTGATCTTGACGTGGAATCAAATCAAATCAAATCATGTTCACCCCTATTCAATTATCCTTCTGAAGCTCCAGGGACAGACCATTAAAAATCAATTATGCTTTTTTTTTTTTTTGGTCCGGAGTATTCTAATTGGTTTCATATACTAATCAACTTTCAAATCATCTTCAGTGCTAGCGGACAAAGTGCAGCGTGCATTGGTTCTTTTCTTTTTGCATTTAATTTGTTTGATTTTTTCACTAGTGTGGCTGGCGCAAGCGGCAAAAACATAGAGTTGAAATTCATTATAATTAATAATAGTTTTAGTTTTTATGTGTGTTATTAGCAAGGAATTTAATCCTTTGTTAATCCATCACTAAATATATTTATATTTAAAAATAAATACCTAATACCATATCATAAGTTGCACGTGTATCAATTTATATCATGTCACCTATTACCTCATATCTCACCACTCGTCACACATTAATGAACAAACTTAAACGATTACTTTTTTTTGTTAATTAAATTAAAATATATCTGCAATCACTGTATGATAAATTAAATATATATTATTTAATTATACAAGTATATCAAATAATATTTTATAAAAATACACATGTGTATTATATTTTATGTTCAATTATTAACACTTTAAAAATATTTATATTTGTATTTACATGACTCTTTATATTATATTTTCAATAAAAATATTATTTTTTAAAGGAAAATGAACTTGAAATAAAGCAAATATTAAATATTAAATAATTTTATTATAAATATTTTATTTAATTTTTAAATATGATTTTTATTTTTAAATGAAAATAATTAATTAATTAAAGTTAATTTTTTTGCATTAATTAGCTGGCTAGGGACAAAATCTCTTACTAAATCCCTTGCTAATTATATAATTTTAGAGAGGGATGACAGTCCCTCATTATTTTTCTCACTAATTATCTTATTTTAAAAAGAGATTAACAATCTCTCACTATTTTTTTCATAAATTATCTTATTTCAGAGAGTGATTGACATTCTCTCACTAATTATAAGTTTAGTTATAAAATCAGCATCCTTCACTAATTGGGCATTTTAGAGAGGGATAGACAATTCCTCATTGATTCACATTTTTCTAGTAGTGTTGAGTTTATTATGTTATTGATAAAGAAATAATATATTTTACATTACTTTAATCTTTCAGAAACAAATCATAATAATTCTTTTACCTGAATGTAAAATTAGTTTAGTATTAACTTATCTAATAATAATATATACTAAAATGAGGTTCATGCATGGTTACTGTCTTTTAAGATATAATTACATATGACTTTCCCAAAAGGAGAAAGAAAATGGTCCATGGTGATCGCAGGTCATTCTCCAATCTTGTAGCACTACTGCTTCGCTTTAATTTGTTCATAGTGGCTTCTATGGGTTGAACATGACACCCATTATGCCACACTTTTCTTTCTTGGAATTATGACTACAAATTCATATACACCCTCACCTTTAATGTATGTCGCATTTCATGTCTGTCACTAGTCCTATGATCTTATCTATCTTCTCTTATCCACTGCCATGACTTTGAGTTTATAGCGTGAAGTATTTATTTTATTCTAAAGTTAATTGGCTCTTTCTATTTAATTCTTGTACATTTTTTATGGAATTATTTAGATTGAAATAAATGGTAGAGAACCATTAATATTTCTAGTTCTCACACAATTGCTTTTGCACATTATTACCATTCGAAAGCTGAAAAAATAATAATTAATTTGTGGATCGTAAAGTAATCTTAATTAGACCAATCAACAGATTGCATGTCACTGATTAATATCATGCATGCATTTATAAATATCGTGGAAATGGTGTAGTGTGTTTAATATGCGATAGATAGTTAATTTGTAACATGGGCAGTTGATATTAGCTTATTTAGAAAACCAGACTCCAGTTACCTTACTTTCATTTTCTTTTTTGGGTCAGAAAACTTAATTCGGTGTCAGTTTCCTTATTCACAGCTTTGTTCTTGACCTAAAAAACAACAGACAGGCTCTTTAGATCATTTCTTGAGACATTCTGAATTGTTATATGTGTGTGTGTATAATTCTTCCCCCTCGAATTGCTATTTCTTTCTTTAATTTCTTTTGATATCCTTTGATATATCATTTTGATACGATTTTAGTTTTACCTTTTTAATTTATTTTTCTAACAGCAAAAGCATTTAAGAGTTCAGATATAACTTGGTAAATGTCCAATATTACTTGTATAAGAAATTTGTCACTTTCATGGGTTGGGGACGGCATTATGGTGATAGATTGTGGGTGCACATCAAGTTGATACAGGCTCGTTCCAAATAGACGATAGATCTATCTTTACAGATTTTTTTGCTCAGTGCTTTTTATTAATCTGATATATATTATACCGACATGGAGCTTAACGACCCTTATATTAGTGCTAATTAAAATTTAAATATAATTTCCAGTTCATAAACACCTCTCTATTTTTTTTAGGCTGTTTCAAAGAAAAAAATTAGTAATTTCTTGCATTTTTCCTACGACTCAGAAGCTTCAGTTCCCAAAACGGTAGATTGCGTGTGTTCCCAAAATCATGCAAAAATTCTGCGCCACCTAGAAATTGTCATCGCTGTTTGATTTCCTAAAATCAAATACCTTAATTCTCTTCAAGAAATTGAATCTCTTCGAAAACAAAAAAACAAAAACACATGCACCATCTTGTTCCAGAAGTGGTAAAAAATAAAATAAAGTCTCTCGCTAAGATCAATTTATTTCTCCCAGACCCCAGAGGCAAAAACTAAAAAGAATCAAGTAATTTCTGAGAAAGAAACGAGAAAGAAGGCCAAAAAATCAATTATTTTTTAAAAACACTGAATAGCCTATATTATTAAATAATGTAAAATAAATCTTTAATTTTTAAAAACAGAACATCAAGTAACCCATCGTCAATTTCACCTGATGAATGTTATGTGAGTCTTACAAGTGACACATGGTGATGCAAATTTAGCTATGAATTATTTTCTGAAAAGTATTGGATAGCTTTTATTATAAAAAAAAAAAAGAATCATTCAACACCTTCTCATAAATTTTGATAAAACAGTTTTTTTTTTTTTACTTATGAGATGCACAATTGGACAGTCTCTTCAATCTTATTTAAGAATAAGAGATTCAAAGAGCTCTTATCCAAATATATTCACAAGGACAATGCTAAGAAAGTATAAGCTTGATTTTACTATGCGTAAAAGAAACTTGATTTTAGTTTAATTTAGTTATAAATTATTTCTTTTACTTTATTGACGTTGTCTTCGTAAATGTCTTCAGATAAAAACTCTTTAAAAATATTGATACGTTATAGGTTTTATAAATCTAAAAATAAATAATATTTGATCAAAATTGATAAGAATGTGTTGCATAGCCTGTTTTTTATAGTAGAGATAGCTTAGCGCTCATCTAAAAATAATTTGTTGTTAAATTCACACATTTATACATGTTGAGATGAAATACCACGTGTTATTTACAAGCTTGAGATAACGTCTGTCAAATAAAATTAATGATGGGCTATCAAATATTTTATTTTTAAAATTTAAAAATTGATTTTATATCGTCTGATGATATAAATAATTCACTTGAAAAAAATAGTTAATGAAAAAATAATAGTTAACCCCGGCCCCCGCGGGGGGGGGGGGGGAGTCCCAAACTTGTCGCCTCTTCTCATTAAAACGCCCCGTCTGTGCATCTAAATGAATCTCTCTCTCGATGGGCCCGCACACGATTGCAGCTATTACCCCCAATACGGGGATTGATACTCATATATATCTATTATTTCTCCTCTATGTGGCTAATACTCACCCACGTGTCCTTCTCTCATTCGTCAACACCTAGATTTCCTCTCTCTCGTAGATGCTAGAAAAGCCTTGCCCCTAGCACCAATTTCGTTTCAACCTTCCCACAAAGCATTTTAGCTTCTCCGCCTTCAGCTTCCGACCACTCAGCTAACTTCCCACTTCACCGGAACGAAAATTTCTGCATGGGAATCGAAAGAGGAAACCTCAAGGGCTTTCGGAGCGGCAGCTGGACTGTGCCGCCAAAGCCGTGTGACTCGTGCAAATCGGCGACAGCGGCTGTTTTCTGCCGAGCCGACTCGGCTTTCCTCTGCATGCTCTGTGACAACGAGATTCATTCCGCCAATAAGCTGGCTTTGCGCCACGAGCGTGTGTGGATGTGCGAGGTGTGCGAGCAGGCTCCCGCCTCCGTCACCTGCAAGGCCGACGCCGCCGCGCTCTGCGTCACTTGCGATTCGGATATCCATTCCGCCAATCCGCTCGCCCGCCGTCACGAGCGTGTCCCCGTGGAGCCCTTCTTTGATTCCGCCGACTCTGTAGCGAAATCCTCTGCTGCTGCCCTTAACTTGCTGGTTCCAACTGATAACGGAATTGGATCCGATGGATTCCTCCAGGAAGAATCCGAATCAGCATCGTGGCTAATTTCAAATCCCAGTTTCAACCCAAAGATCATGGATGTTCCGGATATCAAATCGGGCGATATGTTTTTCCCTGAAATGGAGTATCCTTTGCTGGATTTCGATTACTCAAACTCCTTCGATCAGAATGACAATAACAGAGGGGGTAACAACGATGGTGTAGTCCCAGTCCAAGCTCGGGTTATGAACCATATGGAGAGTTGCTTCGACATCGATTTTTGCAGATCCAAGCTCTCCTCAATTAACTATCCAACGCAGTCGTTTACCCGTCAAAGCGTGAGTATCATTGAAAATCAGTTCATTTCAGTCAAAGTACTAATTCAATTCAAGTCGCGCTGATGTTTGGAAGCGAATTGGTGATACAGGTATCGTCTTCTTCCGTTGATGTTGGAGTAGTGCCAGACGGAGGAAACACGGTGTCGGAAATCTCGTTCCCGATCGGCCAGAACATAAGTAACAGTTCGGAATCGAGCGGAATCATATCGGCCGGTAATTCTACAACGCAATTGGGAAGTTCGGCGAGTGGCATGAACCGAGAAGCTAGGGTTTTGAGATACAGGGAGAAGAGGAAGAACCGGAAGTTCGAGAAAACCATACGGTACGCGTCGCGGAAGGCTTACGCAGAGACTCGGCCGAGGATCAAAGGGCGGTTCGCTAAACGGACCGAGATGGAGTCGGATTTTGACCGGCTGTTCAACGCGGTTGAACCCACAACAGATCTGTTGCTGGATACTCAGTACGGCGTTGTGCCCTCTTTTTAAACGTGGGGAAGCGAGGACGTTGAATAGTTGAATAGTGAACCAAGTTTGTTTGTAGAATGCCCGTTGGGAAGCGTTGATCTTGGACCGTTGATGATGACTAGAAAGGTGGGACGTGGGCGATCCTAGGCCGTCGATAAGGTGGAGCTTTTTTGGACCCGAAGATTTGTGTCTATTTTAGTAAGAAAGTAAAAGCCGATTTACTTTGAGTGGAATCTGAAATCTGTACTGTGAACTCAGTGTATCGCTATCCAGTAAAAAGTATCATTTTCGTCTGATGGCGTATCTTCTCCCGCGTTGTTATTGGTTTATTATTTTATTATTTATTTTTGTTGCTTCGCGATTACGGAATCTTTGGAGTAAAAAAAAAGATGGACTCAAACTCTAAGGACGGGTTTGAAAAGAATTGGGAAATTTGAGAGACAGATGGGAAATTGGGAAGTGTGAGAGGGATTAGAAGGACAAAGTCGTCAATCATGTTTGTTGCTAGAAAAAAAATCAATGTTTGTGTGATTTTTTTTGATTAAAAAAATTAATTTTATTAATCATAAAAAAAGCTACAATAGTCAACAGTCCAAGCCAATAAAACGTTTAAAAAGAATTAGATACAACCTAATATACAACTGAACCCAAAAAAAAAAAAAAACACACAACAGAAACAAAGAAAAAACCAATAACAGTCTATCAACCAGCACCATTTTTCAAAGAGACAGATGGAGCAGCAGAATTAGAACAACGGAAAACACAGCGATTTATTTCTCGCATGCATCTTGTTCATCCTGGACCATCTAATTGAGGTCTTTGAGTTTTTCTTTTTTTCCTTTTTACAAAGAAAACACAGGAAGGAGGCTTTAAATTTACTCCATCAGTCATTATATATAAAATATTTTTAACAAAATGCTTACATATCAATAAAAAATTACTATTTAGTAAAAGGGTGCCTAAAATCATATCAATTTTTCAGTTTTATTCTTAATAATATCAAGATTAATGTCATGACAATGGAAATCAATCTATCTTCTCTTTTTTAGAAAACAAAAGCAAATTTGTTAAATTATCTAAAGTTACCACGACACTTTTTATATAAGAATAAAATAAACTTTTAAAAAACATCATATATTATATATATATTCCCTTCATTTAAAAATATAAAATATTTTTAATTAAATCTTATATTTTAATAAATTAATTATTTATTTTTAAATTAATATTATCTTTTCATATTTATCCTTAATTAATGAGGTATTTTACTCTAAAAGAAATATAAAGTAATTTATTTATTAGGAATATTTTTTAAAAAAAAGATAATGATTATATTTAAAATATTAAAAATGTCTTATATTTTTTAATATTCAACTCTTTTAAAAATATTTTATATTTTTTAATAAAATAATTGTAGACATACACACATGAATATGCAGGAAAGGAGCATGTATTGTTTTACTCTTTTTAAAATTTAATTGCGAACATATTTTTGGAGAGTGGAGAGTGGCGTGTGGCGTGTCGCTGTCCTCAGTGGTGGAGAGTGGAGACCCCGTGAGCCAGCGGCTCAACACCGAACCAGGCAAAACCATACTCTCATGATCTCTCAGATTATTACTTTTCATCGATTTCTTTCTTTTGCTTTTTACTTTTGGCATATCCTAAAAGGAAAATAGTTTCAATATGTATGCCGTTACAACCGTCTTAAACCGTCGGCTTGATTTGATGCCATAATAGCATCAAGCTCTTCCCGATGGAAGCAAAGTTGTGTGTAATATGCGATTTTGTATGAACTTTATTTTATAAATTATAATTTTAGGTTTATAATTAATTTTAATATATATAAGGTCTGTTGGTTTTAGCTTATTTGATGACATTTATTTTTTGAAAAATAAATTTTATTTTGTGAGTTTTTATTATGTTTCTTTAAACTTTTGAAAATAATTAGAATCCAAAGAAAGATAAATTTTTAATTATTTCAATAAGTTATTTTGTTTAGCTTCTAAAAATAATCTAATATAGTAAATGAGGGAGAGTGATTTAAAGAGGCAGATTTGTGAATATATCATAAAATTTTAAAATAATATAATAATAAATTATTTTTATAAAATAAAAATAAAAAAAGATATCATAAATTTTAAAAATAATTAACTAATAATTATTTTTTATTATTGTAACCAAACATAAATAATATCTATGTTTATAAAATCTCTTCAAAATAAATCCCTTTCTATAAAATCTCTAAATTACCTAAAAATTATTTATTTTTTAATCTAAAACAAACTGGCCCATAAAATGTTTGTATTTTTTTAAAAAATAATTTTTAGTTTTTAAATGATTTTAACACGTAATAGGAGTATTTGAAAATATAAAAAAAATCATAATTTTGTGTCCATAATTGATTTTGGCATGTAATAGAAGTATTTAGATATTTTCTTACAAAACAATAATTTTATCTTATTTTCAAGTTTTCTTTTTAATTAAACTTAAAATCAATTATACCACATTCATAACCTACTCAATTATATTCAAAATTAATAGTATTAATTAATTTTTTATAATTTATTTTATCTAAGGTAGTTTTTAGATCAGTGAAGTTGAATTTTAAATTTAAAATCTCATATTTAAAATTAATGTATTTAAAATTTTTTATTTAGGTAATTTAAAAAATTTCACATGAAAAAAAGATGAGTTGAGATTTGAAAAACATAATTATAGTAATGAGTTTAAATCTATTTTTAAATTGACCATAAACTGAAATTTTAAATAATTAGGATGTAGAGAAAATTTTAAATTACAAAAAAAAATAATATGAAATACATTTAAATTTGAATCAAATCTAAATTTATAAATTTTTTATATATACAAATAAAAAATTTAGTTTAAATCCAAATTTTCATAAATCCAAATATACCAAACAGGACAATGGTGTGCTGTGAGATAACTTCTAGGTGTAAATGAAATGAAGATCAATAATTGTTAAATTTAACGAGATGACAAGCATGAATGCAACATTTACCGACAGCTTCAGAAAATAAAAATTCCTTCTTAAAAAGTAAAAAAGAAAAGAGGTAAGATCGTTATAGCTATAGAAATGGGGCATGAAGGTCTAAAAATGGAGAAGGGTCGACATCTGGGAATTGATGAGAACAAAGATGTTTTGTAGGGACATATATGGCAGTCGCTGTTAGCCTGCCCGTATCTTCCCTTGCAGGACCCCTCTTTCTGATTTTTTATATCTTCCATAGATCACTTGCATTGTTTTCCATATCAGTAATCACATCATAAATAATAGCCTGTGGAATTAAAACTATTCCATGAGATGGAAAGAATGTAACTCATATATTCTCATGAATCCTATCTTGTTACTGAATAAGGGAGTGCCATTGTAACTCTCTAAGCATTTTTTAAATTATGAGACTCACATACCCTAAAGTCTATATGGAGCCCAAAATCCAGTTAATTTAAGCTTCTTTCTACCAACATAAAAGAGAAACAACGACAACCAGACACTTGACTCGATTGATAAGAGAGTTATATCAATTTAATTAACAATCTCGAGTTTCACATCTGAAAATATAGCAGCATCACGTTAATGGTAGAGCTTATTCTCTTAAAAGGGTCCTGTCATGGGTCAACTTAAATTAACATAGACATTTGTTAAAGTCTTTTTAACTTGATATAGAGCAGGTCCACAACAACAAGTACTCCACACACCCACCCACCCACACACACAACTTAAATTAACATAGACATTTGTCAAAGTCTTTTCAACTTGATACAGAGCAGGTCCACAATAACAAGTACTCCACACACACACACACACACACACAAAACCCAAGAGAGAAGATATGAAAATAATAATGCCAAGGTATGGTTTTGATTGAAATGATGTTAGATACTCGCATACGACGTTTGGAAATGAAATACATGATTACTTCATATAATAATGTGATTCATGCCTAATTTTTAATAATAAACAATTTAGAAAAACGGTAGCATTTCTTTTGATAGATGTGGAGAGTATCAATAGTGCATGGCAAAAATTTGATCACCTTATGGAATTTGAACTTTGAAGTTAAAGAGGATATCTCACGCTGTATGTTTCACGATTATATGACAAAACACGAGTTTAAAAGTTGTTAATCTAATCAATGTGGTTGATTTTTGAAGGTTCTTACAAATCCAAATTCCAAAGGAATTAATGGGGACTGCGAGATTCAATAACTGATGGTTCTGTCCCCTTTGTCTTGGGGTAAGCAAGTTGTCGTGTTTTCAGTGTTCTAGGGGAAATGGAAGCGTGTGGGGCACACGAGGCGCCATCAGAAAATCGGGGGCCCGCCAATTGTGGGCCCTGCCCCATTAGGTTCACGTGTGCCAACAGCCCAACCCACTGGGCAGTGGGCTCGGCTGTCTCGAAACCAGCATACGTCGCCATCCGGATTAAGCTGTGAATGGTGGAACGAAAAATCAATACCAAACAATCCCTTAATCATCTTCGTTAATCCGACAACGTGGTACCAATGTTTATCCATTTGGTTCTGCCATTTTTCTTCAGATTTAAACCAATAGAACTACTGACATTATAGTCATTTTTATGCCTTTTCAAACCTTACAATTTTATATTTATTATCCTCTAAATGAAATGACAGGATCGTTACATGTCTCACCTGTATTGTCCATGCTGCGTTGCAAAAAGTCCCATACTCATTGTTACCATGTGTATTGTATAACATTGGTGTATGTTATTATATGAAATCATCTTTTCTTTTACAAAATATAATTTTTGATCTCTAAACTTTCTCTCCTTTATCAATTTAGTTATTGGATGTTGACTTAGTGCAGCACAGTTATAGTAATTTATCAAGTTAAGAAATTATATGAACTGAATTGTATCAACTCCAAAATATTATAAAGATTAAGTTGTTCTAAATTATAAAACTGTAGAAATTGAGTTGTTATGAGTCAAACTTCAAAAACTGAATTAAAAATAATTAGATATAAGTTCATAGATAAAAGTTATATTCTCTCTAAGTAACCAACATAGCTAGGTCACTGACTTAATTCTTCTTAAATAAGGTTGGGGATCTGATTGTAAATGTTAAAAATGGTATTGATAGGACTACTCTAACAATACTTGCATCCAACTCAATAGTAGTATGTGAGTAGTAAATATTAGACAATTATATAACCAATGCAATTAGAAAAATTAAAAGTTTTGCTAACAAAAGTTGGTCATAAAAATGCTTCTGAAAATAATATTACAAGTTTTCTTTAAACCATGTAAGGCTGTAAGGCATGCT